GAGTGGTTTATGCCAGGCGAAAGGATGTGGCAGACAAGGAAGATTGTAGTTGTCAGCGAAGATGAAGAAGAGGCGGTGACTGAAAATAAGAAAGTGGAACAAGTGGACAGCTAACACAAGCAATGTAGCGTGCCATCTTTTCAGATCTGTGCTGACTGGCAGTCACTGACCCTACAAGTGAAAACGACTCTGAACAACTAAAAGTGTAAGGGCTTCGTTGTGGCTCGGGCAGAGGCGAGATGACATGAGACAAAGGGCAAATCTGTGATCAGAGAGTGACAGCTGAAGCATTGGGCCGTCTTGCTGAGGTATTGCGTTGGCGTTTGATCCAGCAAATACAGTGAATAGTCTGCCTGGGCCTGTGTGGAGAAGGGTGGTGGGCCTGATGTGCGCTGCTGGGGATGGTGGACTGGAGGGGAGCGCTGCGTTTAAATAATACTTGACAAAGCAATCAGGCGACAAGTGAAAGAGGTGTAGTGTTGTGTTGTGTTGTAGTGGTAGTGGTGGTTGTGGGGATCATGATGTGTATAACAAAAAGAATGTTTCAAATAAAAAATATTTCAAAAAATATAACTATTTTGAAAATTGTAGAAAATAATTTTCCGGATAATAATTGAAATTAAAAAATCAAATGGCTAGTAAATGCATAGCAAAGTACTAGAACGGAGAAAAGAAACATTGGAGGAGAACAAAAATATATGAGAGAACCAACAACGGATGAGAGAGAGAGAGAGTCAGTTTAAAAAATTGAATAGTCAGAAAGAGGAAAGAAGAAAAAACAAATAATTTGCTCGAAACAATAGTGACAACTTCAGAGCGAGATTTGGCCAATTTTGAAGCAGCCGAGGCCAAAATGAAGAGGTTTCTCTCAAGTCATCAAGTTGAACTAGCCTATCTATAACGACTGTGTTTTTTCAGCTGGAACGACGACCATAACTTTCTGCAGAAACAGCGTAAGTCCGTCTGCATAAGGAAAAGCGATTAAAAGTTGAACTTAAAAAATCACCTATTAATTTACCAATGGCATTCTGAAGGAATCTTGGCTTGTTCTTCCAGCCAATGAAGACGACATAGACGGGCACTCCAGTGAGAATGATGAGCACTCCCATTCCAGTGCCCTTTGGATCGGCCAACATTGGCACAATGGTGATGAAGATAGAGGCGGCAATGTAGATAGTTGGCCAGATGAGGTTGACCTTGATTGGTCGAGCCAGGTCGGGTCGCTTCCAGCGCAGGTAGGGCAAACAGGCGACACCCAGGCCAATGGCCAGCCAGGTGGCAAAGCCGACGTAGTTGATCAGCGCATAGATGTCCTTAGATGCCAGGTAGATGAGTGAGAGGGCGCACATGAAGATGACGGCAGGAGTGGGGGTCAAGTGGTTCACTTGAATCATCGCCAGAATCTCCGGCATTTGCTTCTGCTCGGCTCCAGCGTAGAACAGGCTAAAGCATTGTCAATTGTTAGATACTAAATTGAATCAACTGCAGTGAAGTGCACAAACCGTGACGAAGTAAAGAGGATGCCGTTGACACCGCCGAAGGTAGACAATGCGACAAAGACGGGCACAATCCAGGCCATCCAACCGTACAATCTCTCGGCAAATGTCTGTCAAAAGATATCGTCTTTCACTTGTACTTGTTCATTTCCTATCAGTCATTAGCACTCTTACCACAGCCACCGCTTCGGCAGATAAAACTTCAGAAACGCTGAGGGTTGAGTGGAACGCAATGATGGTCAGCGTGTAGACAACGGTAACCAAGATGCAGCTTGTGAAGATTGCAATTGGCAGATTCCTAAGGACATTTACGCAATTAATAAATCAATACTAAAACGTTGCAATCAAAACTAACTTGTGAGGATCTTTCAGTTCTTCAATAACAAAGTTCAGGTAGTTCCTAGAAAAGAAAAACAAAATGTCACAATGAATTGCCTAAATAGGGGCCAACAATGTTCTTACCAGCCGTTGTAGGCGAATAATCCTGAATAGAATGACAATGCTATAGTCGTTATGTCCACCTTCTCCACCATGGGATCTTGCTCAAAGGTGAAATACTGAGTGTTTCCTGCATCCAAAATATCGTCAATAAAAAACACAGTTCATTTGCGCTTTCAAAAGTTACCGAGTGCCAACTG